GTTAGAACTTTGTGTGAGCCACAGAAAATTCAAGTGCCAAAGATAGGCTCTCCCAAGCTATTTCATATCCACATAATCCACTAGCTATATCAAAGGAGATGTAGAGTCAAAGAAGATATTCCTATATATCAAGAGTTGAGGGAAAAACAGATAGTTTTGTCCCTGTGCGTATGTCTTTGCACATCAGTAGAAGCAGAACATCCGTGAGTGGCTGTTGGCCTGTCTGGAAGGGATTCGGTTTGTCCTGACAGAAAGCTTTGGAGCATGGACTGGCCCAGTTCACATGTTTTTTTGGTCTGACTTGGAGGGGAAGCATGAGTGAAAATTACCATAAATTTATCAGTTTAGGTCCTGGTTTGACAATGTCTTTTCTGCCAGGAGGAAAAGTATGTCCATGAGCTTGTTAAGGAGAATTTTTAAAAGCACAGGCTTATATGCTGGTTTAGTTTGTTTCCTCAGTTGCAATATAAAAACAATTAACTGTATTTTCATTAGTATGATCAGATGTTAGAGGCCTGACTTGTATCAGATTTACAGAGGAAGTCAACATGCTCCCGAGAGAAAGGCAAAAGCATTGCTAATGTACTGTAGTACTTGATGTTACAGTTGATGCCACATCTTCTTTATTCACAAGGAGGATTTGACCTCTTTTGCTCACTGCTGGATGAGAAAAATACTTATTTTGAATACACCGATGTTACAGCTGGTCAGATTTCATGGTTTGCCCAACCTGCATTTCTTAACTTCTTTTTTTTTTTTAACTCATAAGCACACTGATACACATAAAATATTAATCCTTACTGTTTTGGAATGAGAAGTAGACATGTGCTGTGTCATTCACACTGCTCATTAATGCTGCCCAAAACACAGTGTGTGAGATTTCATTGTCTGGTCTACTGCATTTAAAAACGTATGGCAGAGGCCTCCACGGCAATGACCCTGACAGAAGTAAATCTTCAGCTCTTTTCTGTAAAGTCTAGTCGTCGTTGTTTGCTCTGTGTAAAAAAAAAGACATTTTTTCAGTGTTGTAATTGCTCAAGCTTAGAATGTTCTGTCCCTTGAGTTTGTCTCCAAGCTATTTATGGAAGATAGAATTATTGCTTCTATTATTGACACATCCTATGAGCCTAACAAAGATTCACAGTCTTATTATAATTAAGATATGAGCAAAAACTACCTGAACTTTTGTAAATATTTTTCAAACACTGGTGAAAAATAGAAGAATGCTTCAAGTCATTGAATGAACCATACCTTTTCATGACATTCATATTTTCATATCATGTCATGATCAGCTATTCTACTGTCCTTATGTTTTTTTTACTGTCGTCTCTACTGCTCTGTAAATTTCCTTGCCACGTTTTCTTCTCTGTGTTTTATTGCTCATTTCTATCTCCTCTTGCTTTTCTTTTACACCTGTTTCTGTTGGTTTTTCTATTCCCCTTTCTTTCTCCTTGATTTCACATCCATTAGCTTCAACCCCGATTTCTTTTTCCTTAATTCTCTGAAAGTTGACTCAGCTCATGTGACCATTCAGGCTACTGTAGATGCTACATTTATGTAAGAAGAAACAAATATATGTATCAAGTCCTTTCCTTTTCATGTCTCCAAACTCCCCTTAATAGTCATGGCACTGTAAATGAACAATCCATGTGAACTACTCCCTTATTCATTAGCTTCCACAGCAAAAACTCAGAAGAAATGGGTATAGCTATGTTAAACTGTTTTGTTAGCTATTGTACTCAACATATGGCATTTTCTGTATTCTCACAAATTCTTTTCCTTTTCATCTGGTTTCTATAAAGAGACAATATTAAAATGGGCCACCTTCATTAGTGGCTAATATAACTGCAGTTACTCTCAAAGAAGAAATTTAAAAGAATGATACATTTGTTTAATTTACATTTTGACATTCTGCCACCTAGCTTTTGTTTTTCTGCAAATAGACTTTGAACAAATAATTCCTGAAAAAATAATAGCCAACGAGGTTTCTGCTTTTGTAGGAAGTTCAACAATTTAAGTCTATATAAATTCTCATAAGCTACACCTTAAAAATCTTTATAGCACATTTAATAGTTTTTTTTTGAACGTAATTAAAAATAATAGTATGTTGTGTGCTGTATGTACAAGTTGGTTAGTAACACTTTACGAGTCTAAGAGAGCAGTAGAAAATAATAAGGAATATAGTACAGTTATTTCAAATGAGCTTTTTTGTAGCTTTGCTTTTTCTATAACTATATTTATCTCTAGACCTTGCTTCTTATTTTTAGTATTTTATTGAAAAGTTTTTCAGACAAAGCTATAATAGTATTTGATTTACGCAAATGGCAACATCACTTGTATTTGCACAGAACAAATAGAAAAAAGACATTGAACAGAAAAGAGGCTTGCTTAAGTTGCATTAGTTAACTGTTCTTTTATTCGTAAGGTGTGTGACGGGTAATTTTATTTGTTTCCATCACGGACTCTATAAAATGTGTATATTCTTTTTTGAAAGAGGGTAAAAAAATACGGTGTTTGTAAGTTGTTATGGGAAGCTATCATAACTTTTCATGGACAAATTACATTTTCATGTCTGGAGTTTTTGGTGGTTTTTTTTCCCCATGAAAGTGAAATAAGTGGAAGTAGTATAAAGATTAAACTTCTGTTGTCTTTAGCCAAAATCTTTTATGATTTTCAATTTGAATAGTTCTGTATTACTTCATTATTCTCATTTCAAAAATGATACTTCAAATCAGTCAAATCAAAAGCTAGTTCAAGGATCTTCTCAGTTTTTAACAAGGAGCTATTTTTATTTATAAGTACCTTTACAGGATACTTCACTGATGTAATTACTGAGCTAACCACTTTCTTAAAAGAAGAGCCAGCTGACCTTAAAAATCCCAAATAATTGTGTTCATCGTCAGTTATGTATCTGCGCTTCTGAGAATGCCTCCTAATCTTATCGGTCACATGTTAACAAAGTGATTTTTTTCGTCTAGGAGACCAAAGTGCAATATATAATTAGTCTGTCATTTTTATGAGACAAATATCACATGATTTAAGTCATGTTATTTTGTATCCCAAACTATGCATTTTATTTAAAAATTCTAATAGGTTTCCTGGAAATTGTGCAACTGTGGAATAAAATACACAGATCAAAGCTAGTTTTCAATCAGTGAAGTGCATAACGTTCTTTTTAACTGTAAAAGTTTATAATCCCTAGAATACTTCCTTCTAATGAAAATGTGGGCTCTGAATGTTTGAAAACTATTTGAAAAACAGTCTAAACAGGCCAAGAAGAGAGGCCAAGGAGAATATAATTGAAAAGAAATTGTAATCAAAATAGGAAAGAAAACTTGCAGATATGGGTAAAACTAAATATTAAATATTTTTAAAACTGTACAGAATGATTTCATGTTTGTATATTTGTGTACTTATAGCTTGAACCAATGTAGGAGCTAACCAGTGGTAGAAATAAGGTTTCTTAAAAGTAATATTACTGTTTCCTTCTGTTCTTAAGCTGAAGAGTGAGAAATCACAGACACGAATAACTACCCAACAGAGTTTGGACAGAGAATGTTAGGTTCCAGTACTGAACACTGATAAACACAATAATGAATTTATGAAACTGTTTTATAATTTTTAAAAGATGTCCAGATTTTGTTTTGCTGCTGGTGTTGTAGTAAGGAAGGAAGCACACATCAGTAATTACAGCTATAATCCACATTCCTTTTTGCTTTTCTTCCAAAATTCCTCAAAAATTGAGTGTGTCAAAAGTGGTTTAAACTGGACATGGTATTTTAAATAACTTTTGAATAGTCACAGCGCAATTATTTCTACTAGTGGAAAAAAAATTAAATTAGAGAAGAAAGTAGAATTTTTCACTTAAAGAGTGCCAAGAAATGCATTTTTTATAAGAAAAGATTGATTTGGTCTGCATTAGTGAGAACTGGATTGCTGAGTTTTCTTTAGTTGTTTGGTAAAAGAACTTCACTTGCAACATCTTTCCCTCTGCAGTTCATACAGAGAAGTATAAAGTAAATGTCCTTAGCATCAGTGTTTTAAAGACATCGATAGCTAGATAGATCTGAGGAATACCAAGATTTTTCCTTCCTTTCTGTCACTGTATTTGGGACATAGTTTCTCCTGCCCTCTCTTGTGTGTGTATATAAGAAGAAAGCAAAGTCCTTTTCTCTTAAATTCTGTTCTCCTTTTCCTTCTAATTGAACTTCTGATTCAGTTCTCCATGTTAAATCCTAACTCAAAAAAGACTTCTGCCTGCAAGAGTAAGAGGCAAGAGTAGAGGAATCAGATCGATTTTCTTCTTTCCTCTTATTTCACTAGTGCTTTTAGTCTGTAGCTGCCCACAAGATTATTTTAACAATCCCTAGGCAAGAACCTCTTCTAACTTGCCTTTCCTCAAATCCCCACATCACCTAAGTTGGTTGATCAGTTCAATCTAAAGGCATGAGAAAATATTAAAGGAAAAAAAGATATTTCAAGGTTTTCAGAGGATGTGTAATGTATAACCTTATAAATGGCTGATATAATGATTAGAGAAAATACTAATTAGACAAAATGAAAGCTAGTATACTTAAATCAATATTAAATATACTCAAAGCCTATTCTAAATATAGAAAAGATCTAACCAGATAGATTTTGATTTTTAAGAGGGGTATCCTCTTGCTTTCATACTGCAGCTGTTTCCAGTTCATTTCAAAGAAATTCTATCAAACACAGATCCTGCAAGATGAGAGAAATCTTAATGCCTGGTGAAATTCTCAGTGAGCAGTACAGAGAGGCTGTCATTTTGCTTTTGGTTCTCATCATAATTAAAGAAGTGTTAGGACCTACTTTTATAAATTATGAAGTGCTTTTGAATACTAATTAACAGTTTCTTGAGCTAATACACCTGAAAATGGCAATGGAAATGGTTCTTGCAGGTATATGTTTACACCAGAGGTAGAGCAGTTGTACTTTCTTTGAATCTAATGATGTCTTCTGTGTGTATTTCATTTCAGAATAAAGGTGGCTCAGCAGTCAGTAAGCAAGTTAACTGCAGAGAAGAAAGTTGAAACGAAGAAAATCAACCCTACAGCTAGCCTGGTATGATGCATTTCTCAGCATGACGTTCAGAGTGCAATTTGTTACAGTATTCTGGTCATTCAGAATTATGGTGTTTTTCATTCTTGTTGATGTGTGATGTAACATACTTCATCAGTTTGAATGCAGCAGATTAATATTCTTCCCAATGAAAAATGTTTAAACTTTTGCCTACAGTAATTCAAGCAGTAAGCTCTAAACATACGTTAGTTACAAGTAAGCGTGGCTCAGTGCATTTACATAACAGGATATGATAACAGTTGCCTTTTTGGTTTCTTCCCCTCTGCCACTAGTCTCTCATATTTTCTTTCCTGCTATTCAGTGCATTGGAGCTCTTTGTATAAATTTGTCCAATGCCCAAGTCTCTTGTTTTTTTCAAAACCTTAAAATTGTTTGCTCTCTTGAGTAACAGCAAAAGGGAATAAATTCCCCTTTATTTTTTTCCTTGTTCCCCAGGTTTTTTGGTAGGACACAAAAAGAGGGCTTATAATTTGTACTGCCTTCCCTTTGGGTGCAGATGAAAACCTCCTTTTGGCTGCAGGCAAGATATGTAAGTTAGAGCAGCTTCTCAAACTGCAGGAACAAGAGACTAAGGATAGGAAAAGCACATGAAGGAATCAGTTTGCTAAAGCAAACTATTTCTATTTAATAAGCAACAAAACGGTTTTGAGCCTACAAGAGGGTTTTTTTCTTTCTTTTTCTTTTTTTTTTTCTTTTTTTGAATTAAAGAAAAGGCTAGTCTGGTTTGTCCAGTTTCATACTTTGCAGTATTCTAGACCACATGCTTATGGCAACTATAGAGCAGATGGAAAATTAGAGAAAAGAATGATAATAAAACTGTTTTTTTCTTAAACAACAGAAAGAAAGACTGCGTCAGAAGGAAGCCAATGTGACCACCAACTGAAAGAAGACACATGAAACTAATGAGTGTGACTTAATACCTTGCATGATGCTTTACTATTCCCATTCTCAAGGGAGCACCTTATGTTAGATGTTGAATTCTACTTTGTTGATCTGTTCCAAGACAATCCACTAATAATTTTTCAGTTCCTTCAAGGGGGTTTGTACATTCAGTAGAGAGAGTTCCCTTAGAAGTTGTTTACATGCGAAGTCTAGAAGGATAACACTTGCTTAAATTTATTAAAATGTATCTATTTTTAATGGTTATTTGAAGTACTCTATGCATAACACATTAATATGAAAGAGCCAATATTGGAATTTTGAATGCTGAGTTAAGCAGTGACTAAAAACCTGTAAGCTATTTACAGAAACTTTGTGTAGGTTATAGGAAATATGCCATTCAGCTCACAAGAGACTATAACACCATTTTTTTGTTACTTCAGTAGTAACTGGGATAAAATAGAGTGATGCTTAATGATTTTATAGTGTGTAAGTGTTGGATGCATCTTTCTAAAACTGATTGAATATAATAATAGATTTATTCTGTATTTTACTATAAGTATTTTTATAGAAACATCAGTTTATGTGATACATTGAAATGGAAATAATATTTTGCACATGAAAGAAACAGTTTCAGATTCTGTAGATGTATGATTGAATGCATAACTGATTCATTACATTTATGGTTTTGACCTAACATTTCCTACATTCCAAACTCCAAAGGAAAAGTGGTAAAAATATATATTTTTATTTCAGTGTATTGAAACTATCAGCTTCATAAAATAATGTATTTATTAGTCATTTTTCACTGAACTAAAATACATTATTGTATCTCCCTGAAGTCTTATATCAACCATTACATCTCAGACTTTCAGTCCTATTGACAGCTTTTAAACAATATATCTCAGTCTAGAACAAATTTTGCAACCCACTCCTGTCTCCTTGGTTTTGTATGAATTAATTGGCAAAGAAAAAAATATGAGAATCTTGCTGTCATTTTGGAATATTATAAACTTTGTAAGATAATGAAAACACTAGAGGATACACTTGTTGAAGACTTTGCCTACATTTTAAGGATTCAGATGCAAGATTCATTATCTTGAAGCAATAATTTAAGTCACAGAGAAGTGACTGAAGTACAGATACAACAAAGATGTATAAATAAGAACAACAAACTGGAAAAAACATCCTTCTGATTTCTGTTCAGAAGTTAAAAAAAAAAAAAAAAAAATCCCTTATGGTAAGGGTGTCTGCATATTGTGAGCAACAGAGAAGATAGGTGAAGCAAAAAACTACCAAAGTATAACCAGGAGAAAGCATTAATCCTTTGCTTTAGTAGATTGAAATAATATACATGAAAGAGACATAGATTATCCACATAGCAGATCAGGGAATCTGAAGAAACATAGGGTAAAGTCAGCGCTAGAAATGTGTGCTTATTAAAGGAAGCCACAGTTTTTGAGACCCCATTCATAAACATAGCTTGACGATTTCATGTTACAGGTTTCTTAAATAATGACCTATGTTGCTCATGCATAAGTAAAAATGAGGGATTGAATTTGTCATTTACACTTTAGAAATTTTAGATGCTACAGAAACATTTGAGGTTTGTAAGTATAATTCATACAAAAGCAGTCAATAGGAGACCAGCAAAGATAAACTAATGGTTCTTCATCATTAATGAGGACTTCTGGGAGGGAGAAGGGAGGAGCAAATGACAGCAAATGTGTAAAGTATTTCCAATATTATTAGTGATAAAATAAACAACAGGAACAATAATGCATATTCAAGCACAATAATGCATATTCAAGCCAAAGAATAGCAGTGAAGCAAGATAGTTCTGGCGAGTCTTTAAGTAGAGCTTTCACATGGTTTTCTGCCTGCTATGAAAATAGTGTATATTGGTATTGGAGTTGATTAGGAATTTTTCAATGTACTATTCTTACTTGAAAAATGAATCAACAAGACCAGTACTGCTTGTGAGAAAGGATTGGTCTTGGAAATTCTCATTCAAAGTATATTATATAAAAAAGGCTTTAAATATTTGATATATCCTGTTTCAAAATTTCTTAATATAAAGTTTTGTTTTACAGTTCTGATTGACTTTTCATTTAGAAATGTTGAATAATGTATAAAAAAAATTAAAATTATTGATAGAAAGTATTGCTTGATCAGACTTATAATTCTTTCCCAAAATACCAATTTTCAGTTTTGAGAACTTAGTGTATTTTCCATCTGTCTCACAAACACAAATAGCCTAGAGATGTTGTTTTTTCCTTCACCTCAATTCAACTGGTTTTATTCCCAAGATTGAGATTCTGATTAGTTTTACTCATGACTTCTCTACTGAAATAGAGAAGTCAGAACTTGTGATTAATTCTTTTACTCAGAACTTCAGGACTAGTGAATGAATTAAATTATCGCACTTAGACCCCCAGAGGTAGCTAAGTGTCCTAGTGCTGTTAAGAACAGTAGACCTGCAAAATAATTTTTTTGATAAATAATTGATATTAACAGATACTATATGTCATCTACTTAACCATAAAATATTTCAGATATGTTCAGATATGTGAGTATTAGCATGCATTCATATTGAGATTCAGTATCACTAAGATCTATGTCTTAAACTTGGATTTGGTATAGGGCCCGACTTTACCCTGCGGTTTCTAATATGGGTAGGAGAAATATGGAGAGAAAAAGGGAACACTCTTTCGAACAAAGTGAAAAGGAAGACGAGTCTTTGACCCATGTCACTGTCAAGGAAATAAATGTAAACAGTGGACTAGATTAAACCAAGAACCGTAGCTGGATAGTTATCATTTTCCGGGCTAGTTAGTTTAAATTACCTTCACACTGCACAGAAACAATGACACAACCTGTCATTATTGTGAAACATGTAAACTGTTTAAACTGTTTAAACTGTTTAAAAAAAAAAAAAAGAAAGTATATTAAACAGAAAGTACTTACTACCCAAGAAAATGGCATGCATTTTTATTTGTAAATTGGATTATTAGGAAAAATTCAATATAACTGCATAGATCTTAATATCTCTGCAGCACTCTTTAACTTATTTATGTTATTGTCACTTACTAATTCTAAAATGAAGCATCTTTTAGCACCTTAAATACTTAACAGGAAAATGCTTAATAGTATGAATTATATTTTCATGATGTTTTTATTGATCTATGAAAACTATCCAGGTAATTTTCCTTGATTAAACCATAGAACTGTTTTATACTGCAAGATTTATTATAGAGCTATAGATTTGTCATTTAAATAATGTTCTATTTATTTATTTAAATTAGAGTCTCATTAAACCAAAGCAGAAACTGGATGATGTTCAAGTTCTGAACATATGGAAAATTAAAGTACAATGGCTGGAATGTTCAGAAAGCAGAGAGAAAAAGAATATTTTAAACAGTTCTGTGAAGGACAAAGTTTATATATGATTTCAGCCTTCCTGTGTTGCTGAGAATATCTCCTCCAACCGATTTTTTTTCTTACCTCTAAACATCTTTATTTGTGGAAGAATATTGAGAACAAGAGTGTGTATTTATTTAGTAATACCATTTCTTTATTACTTTAGGTCAACAACTTAAAAATGAATGCCTTAATCTTGTGTGGGCGAGGAATTACAGAAATACCCAAACATGTTAGAAATATTCGTCTCATTAAGTTAGAAATATTCATCTGATTACATCATTGCTCTGTTTTTGAAAGTCCAACTCCATAATTTGTGTGTAAGCACCAGTCTAAGCTTATAATTTTAGAAAATCATATCCACCCTAGTTTTTCTTCATTCTTGGCCTTGTCTGGATCTTGTTCAGTTTTGTTATGGGTCTCACTTTTTTTTGTTCCTTTTGTTGTTGTTGTTCTTCAGAATTCTTTAGTGCTTGTTAGTGGATTTCAGTATTTGCAGTCTAGAGAGCTCTCTTTGGCATTCTTCTTTTGAAGATAAGTCTGCCTATTTGCATATAAATGTAAAGAAAACAATAAGGAAAGACAAAAAAGTAACTTGATCACATCGAAAAAGTTGCTTCCAAGAAAGAAAATATTAGGAACTAACCATCTACTTGAGCCAGCAAGGAAAAATACCATACAAAATAGTCTGAAAATTAAAACCAGACAAATTAAAAATAGGCATAAATTCCAAACTATTAGTAATGATGCTGGTTAACCACTGGAGGACTATTAGCAAAGGTAGTTGTGGATTCCCCAATTATGATGCTTTTAAATCAGGATGGAACAGCTTTCTAAATGGTTTGTGTCTATAACAACTTACTGGACTCTACCCAGGTTTCTTAGCATTCATTGAAGATTTTGAGTGTATGCCAGGGCATTTACCGTGGCAATAGCTGATGTGAGGCAGACTTTATCTAGCAATTTGTCCCATTACTGAATTGTTAGATACAGCCTGTAAACATCATAACCAGATTTTTCCATCACACAGTAGAGTTTGTCAGTGTCAATTATGTTGGAGATCTGAAGTTCCAAATGTGCAAGCAAAATTGATAGAGCTCTTGAAAAGTAATTATTTTTGCAATAATTTGTTCAAAATACTTGAAAGACCAACATTTCTTCTCTCTCTCCCACTCTCTCTTTCTGTCTCCCTCTTCTTTTTTTTTTTTTTTTCCCCCCTTTGGCATTTTTTTAAAATTTCCAAAAATCTGCTGCGTGAAATCATGACTGAAGTTTTTTTTCACTCACTGAAAATGTGGTACACATACTCTTCACCACATTTTCAGTATATTTAAGAAGAAAAACAGCATTGGAGAAAAAAAAAAAAGAACATTTTCAGTTTAAAAAGTGTCTGGAGTGTCCAATGAATCATTATTAAACTATTAAAACTATTAAAACTATTAAACTATTAAAAATAGTTTTAAAACAAAGTCTCACATGTTTTTAACTTTAAAAATGCTTGTCTGCTTCAGAGTTCCCGTAGACTGTCCTGCTTACTGTTACCGCATGGGTTTACCTAGACTGACTTGCAAACGTGTGTATGCCTTGTACCATAATAAAAAGCTAACTGCCATGCAAAATAAGTCCCTATAGGGAAAGGAACCGTTTTCTCTTCTACTCCAAAATGTTGGTACAAGTGCTGTCACCTTAGGTCTGGATATAATGACATTGCAACATCCCAGCCTTCTTGTGATTTTTAAGAAGGAATTATTTCCATCACCATGCTCCAGTTCTGCAACTTTGTTCAACATGGGTAATTTCACCATGCAAGGTAAATATTGGAGCTCTGGGTGTTCTTAGAGGCTGGAAGACGAGGCTGTTTGCATGGTCTCTTTGCCAGGCACTCTGAGCCACGATGGCTCAGAGGAACTGCTCAAATGGAGACTTAAGAAAACAATCAGAGCTGTACGTTGCCAAAGAAGAAAGAGAAAAAATCATAATTATATCTTCATATTAAAG